TCACACATAACTAAAGTTAACCAATTCCAGAGACTGATCAAAGAATGATGACCAAACTACCTTCACAAAATTTTAACAAGACATAGTTTGTTTTAGCTGTTAGTTACATAGATGTTTTAAACTAGTGACTTCCTTTATCCAATTCTAATGTTTGACAGTCTGAACCAGTTTCTCAACTGGTGTTCCCCAAAACCCTAGGGTTCCATGATAAATTGACTAATGCATTTTTAAGTAAATTTTTGTTTAATTTTTATATTCATAAATTTACTATACACATACAGCATATTGTTTGAAAATTCTTGTTTATTCTAATAAAGGCTTCAACCTCTTATATTATTTAAAATTATATGATAATTTTTATGCAGTGTTTCCCCAAGGCATGAAAATTATTTCAAGGTTTCCAGCAGGGTAAAAAGTTTGAGAAATGTTAGTCTGAATACTGAATTGCTTATTTCCAACTATAATGAGGTAGAACAAGAGTTTATATTTATATATATATATATATATATATATATATATATATATATATATATATATATATATATATATATATATATATATGTTCATTTTCCATCTTTTCAATGGTTTGCATGGTAATTTGGTGATTTGTTTGTAAGTGGTTACAATTATGATCTTTTCTTTGGTCCCTAAAAACTGCATCTTACACCCACTCTAACCTGCCATTGGTGTCTGTCCATGTTAACTTGTTTCTTTTCTGCCAGTTTCTGAAGAACTGCCTGAAATATGCTGCATACTTATATATATATATGGGACCTTGTTTTGCCTACTAATTGTCACCACTGATCTATTAATAAAATTCTAGCATTAGTTTGTTCTCTAAAGGTCTTTGTTCAGAAAGCACATGGCTTGTTGCCTCTTGATCCATTTTAGATGACCTAATTCCTGAAATCTATCCTTCCTATGAAACCATGGGCAAATATATATTTATATAAACAAACCACACAGCCTGTTGGTCAGCTTGACCTTGTTTTTTTGTTGGGGGTGCTTTTTCAGAAAAGCAATTTCTCCAAAATCATTCAGCCTCGGAACCTATACAAATCTGATGGATAGGTTTTTATGTAAACAACTCAATCTGCAAAGTTTTTGAGATTTTTTTGGGGGGGGGGGCTTTGGTGTGGAAGTAATTTATTACTTGGCATCAATTCTCATCTGACTTGGCAAGAGTAACAGGTGAATACAGCCTGAACCCAGTTATATTAAATTAATAAGTTATCTAATATTCAAGTTCAATTCCTTAAGATGCCATCAACATAACTAATTTCTTGAAACTAATTAGTTTTCATAATTAGTTATATTTTCACATTTAATTCCAGTATCCATTAAATGTAATGAAGCCTTATCTCATATTTTTCCCTTGTTCTTTCTCATAAAACCAAGATTTTCTACATTTAATCCCATTTGTTAAGCCTCTTTGGGGATTTACTCACCACACAGAATGGGCCACCACACATCTCACCATATTTATATTATATGAATGATCTTACTTTTTATTACTTTTTCAATCCTTTTCTTTTTCATGACATTGTAAAAATCTTTTTGCACAGTCCCTAATACAGTGTATGGCAGAAATACTATTTTCAAGGTTGACAAAAAAGACCAAGGTAACTGCTATTAAAACAATTATTTCACTGTTGTTTAAACAAAGGACTACGGTTTTTAGTCATTTGGTGTTAAAAATGATATCCTCCAAATGGTGGTCTCTATTCACCATACACTGCTGTAGACAATTTCGAAAGTTTTCCATCACCCAGAGTCCTTTCTGGCAGTTTTTTTTCTTTGCCACTTTTTAGCAAATAGTATTTAATTCTGCAATGGCTACTGGTCAAAATTTTTAGACCTCAGCTTTCAAGTAACCTCAGAGAAAATAATTACAGGGGGCAAAAGATCAGGCAAGCATACTAGCCATCGAGTGTCACTAAATAGAGATATCAAATAACTTGGAAACATCTCCCGTAAAGTTTCCATTGATCCTCTCACTATTTGAGAGGTGGCTTCATCCTGTTGAAATCACATATCCAGAATCCCAAGTTCTCTTAGTTTTGGTTCCAGAAAGATCTGCAGCATCTTCATACACAGGTCAGATGTTACTGTAACCGTGTGGTCTTCCTCCTCAAAAAAGTAAGGGCTTCATACATCAACTTGCATAACTGTGCCCTACACAGTCACTCATTTGCTGTGTAGAGGTCTTTCATGAAGCTGTCTAGGATTATCCTCCCACAAAATCACAAAATTTCTGCATATGGACATACCCAGTGAATTGATATTGAGCTTCATCACTTGTAAGAAGAATAGTATCTGCAGGAACATTTTAAAGGCTATCATCACATCATGCTATGCAATTTTCCCAGTTGTTCATGCAGTTCCTGAATAACCCATAATATGTATGGATAAAATTTCAGATTGGTGTGTAAGATTCCTCTGACTGCTCAATCAGACGATCCTAAAGCAGAAGCATGTTTACAGGCGGAACATATAGCAGATTGCACAACAGATTGTCTCACAGCCTCTGGACATTTTCTGAAGTTCTTTGAGGTTGCTTTGAGGTTTTCCAGATAGTTTTCTTTTAACTACTGAACCTGTGTTCCTAAAATTTTCAACACAAAACAGATTTTCCATCCAGGACAGCATCATTCTGACATAATATGAAATAAGCATGAAAAACTATGTTGCAATTACAGATTCACCAGTTGAAAAAGAAATGTTTCAACAGCAAGCACATGGTATGTACCAATCCAAGCCATAATGGTAACAGATAGTATCTGAAAAAAATAGTAAAGCATGAGCTAGATCAAGACACCATTGCCACTTGCCCAAGTTCACTAGTACCATACAGGTGATAGTTTAAAATGTTGGAGGAATTTCTGCCGCACATTTTTTACAAATACTTTCATGGAAATTGCTCCGATGAGCTGCTTGCACTGGTTCCCAGACTTCATGAATTCAAGCGTCCTATGAGGCTGACATCCCACTCTCACCCTTTCACTGTTGAAACTGTTAAATGTAGCCGTCTCTTCTACTTCAATAGCTTCATATCTCGCACCTCTCACCTGTGGAACTCCCTTCCCTATTCCTGTTTCCCTGACAGCTATAATCTCCAACTATTCAAGTGTAATGTCAATCAACATCTCCAGCTGCCTTGATCTATCCACTATTCTTCTCCTCATCCTTTCCTCTATCTCTCCTAATTGCTCTCGCTCCAAATCTTCTGTAACCTCTTGCATACTAGTGGCTTCCCACCTTGCTTGGGGTGAATCAATTAAAAAAAAAAAAAATTTTTAATAGTTTCAATTTTGAATTTTTTTTTTTTTTTTTGCTACTAATTTTAGATTTTTTTTTTCTCAAGTACTCTTAATATAACAATCATTTTTTTATTTTTTTATCTGAGTTATCATCCCTGTTGATAAAAACTGAACTTTGACTTATGCTAAGATAAGGATTAATCCTGATACAGAAACAAAACAAGCACAAGAGGTGCAAAAGTAGGTATACAATAATGAAAAACAATACATTGTACCACTATTGTAATACTGCTATAAGACTGTGTACGTACTTTTGCAGTCCCTTGTATAAAAATAAAGCTTTCTTATTGTTTTTATTATAATCATTTCATGCAGAACAAAATGTGAATAAATCTTGAATCCTTATAATTAAAACAATATGGTGAAAAGGCATTAAGAATCAGAATAATTTATCCATACATGAAGCATCTGTGTTTACATTATGTCCTCATTTTGCTCTATTGACTGTTACTGATCTTGATCACCTTCGATTATTCTCTAACCTTGTTCAATAAAAATGTCTTTAATCCAAGCCCGAAGCAAAGCATGTTAGAGATATGGTAAACAATAGTTCCTTTCCAAGTTCTGGCTTCTCCTCCCATTTTTCAAGTTGTTCTGCCTTCCTTTGACATTGATTTTGATCTTGTGCTGACAATACTTGCTGAGTTGTCTATTGTCCTTGTCTGCTAAACAATACATTCAGTTACAATATTATAGAAGCTAACTCATTCAGACACTTTCAATCTTCTATACACTCATATACTTTCTCTTTTTATTTCTTAAACCCATATCAGCAGTACCTCATTTGACATTCTCTTACATAACTAGACCTTTATAACATTATTGGTTTGGTTGAGCATATGAGTATTACTGACTGCAACCAACTTGATACATCAAAAGCATTGATTCATTGATTCAAAGTGAACGTCTGTGCTAAAACTTTCTTGGGGGTATTAGATTACTTCTTGCTCTGTTTAGCTCAAATTAGCATCTTTCTACATTGCTTAATTAAGTAATGAGTCAATTTCTTCAACTTGCCATATTCACAGCAGGACTATTGAGAAATAAGAATCTAGTTGAATGAAATTGATTTCAGGTTGGATCCCATTTTTTGTGCTAAAATATATCAGTAATAACCATAAAACTTATTTAAATTTAAGTCTATCCCTACTCTTTTGCTCTTTCCATGGTAAATGTTCAGACAAACTACATTCCTTAGTTTTACCATTTCAGACATTTACAGCTAGGCCTGCTATGCCACATCCACAGGGTTGAATCAGCCTAATTTCCTTTATATTCTATTGATAAGAAGGAAGCTCCACACAAATAGTTTCTTCCCAAGAACCACCACTTTGTGAAACACTCTTAAGATAATGTCTCTCCAGTCACTACAATCTTGATTTCTTCAAGTCTAGGGTAAACCATTATCTATCCTCCATATCCTCATAATCTGCACTTGTTTACTTCTCTTATATCCATGCATCAACCTCAATCAATAACTCTCTCTGCTTTGATTGTCTCTTGGGCTTTGTATTGAGTGAACATTTAGTTTTAAAAAAAAATTCTCCTTTTTAATTGAATATTTTCTCTTTCTTTTTTTTCTCTCACTGTAAATTAAAAAAAAAAACTTTAAAAAGAAGAAAAATAGTGGAGTTTTACTTTTCTGGGGTTATAAAATATTTTATTTTTCACTGAATGAAAATGGGACAAGTAAGAGCAATAAAAGATGAGGCTCTTTTTCAATGATTCCTCATATCTCTTGACAAGAGATGAGTTCTATGAATTGGAATATCTTTAGAAGATGATAATCCTCCATTCTTACCATGTGGCTAGCCCACTGTAGTTGAGTCTTTTGTCACTGTTTCAAATATTACTTTGTTGCATTGTTTAGTTTTCAGGCATCAGTTAGTGTTATATAGAATTGCATACTCTTAATCAGAGCATCTCATTTTTATTACTTATTAACTGCTACACTACATTCTCTAGTTACTATTGATATATTGCTATATTCTTAGAATTCTTAGAGCTGTCTTCATTGTACTAATGACATTGAGTGTATTCTAAGAATCTTCATACATGAGAATGCTCAAAGTCTAGTATATTAAGCATGGTCAAATTCCATAAGTTCTGATATGCCAAGCAGTACAGCATGTCGTTTCCAAATTTCTGGTGGAGTGAATTGTGTCATGGTGCTCTTTTTCCTCACAGACAATGGCCAATTATATGGTGCAGTCAACAAAATCAAAAACAAACACACATGCACAAAATTAAAAATATAAAATGTCACCAATTTACCCATCTCACCCTGTGTGTGTGTGTGTTTGTGCATGCATTATTATTATTATTATTATAAGAGATTAAAACAAAAACATGTTGAAATCAGTATACAATAGCTTTTATGTTTCAGCAACTTTGTGCCTCTTCAGGCGATGGTAACTAACTGGTTTTTAATCACCAGTTACTTAACATTACTTGAATAGGCACAAAGTTGCTGAAACATGGAAGCTATTGTGTAGCGATTTCAACATGTTTTTGCTATGATCTCTTATGATAAAAATAATTATAATATATTGCTCTACTTTGTATTGAGCACTTTTTAAAAGTAAATACTCCGAACAGCGGAATTTTACCTCATCTGTTCTTTCTCTCATTTGGATATATATATATATATCCACATACAATCTTGTTTGGCTATATCACAGCTCATTAGTGTGGCTAGACATCTGATTGCTTCAAGCTGGGATCGAAACCCAACTGATTTGGTATCAGTCAAAGATCCTACCCCCAGCTATCTATGCACAGCAGAGAAAGGAAAATTTTAACATATTATGTACAAATGTATATAAACGCTAGAGGACACAATTCATTAATGAAGATATATATATAAGGCTAGGTTGGGGTTTCAAGCCTTGAATGGCAACCTTCCTAGAGATGGTGCCTTGATAAAAACTCAGTGTACTTGTGAGTGTCTGAGTCAGGAAGAGCTTCCGGCCTTATAAAAGCTTGTCTCAAATAATTATGACAAATCCTTTGTCAAGCAGGACCCACCTTGCTTTGTGCAAAATTAATCCTGGTCCTGTCTCATTGAAAAAACACACCTACCTATCTCAGTCAGTGAGTTACTGGATTAAAGTTTATTGCAGATGAAAGAGAATTTTTGTTATTCTTCAATTAATGTTTCCATAATTCTTTGATGTAAATATTTCCTTAAAAGACCATTTTCCTTTCAAGAAACATTTAATTCCTCCTCGTTTTATCAGCAAGTAATATGTTATACAAGTACAGCAATTTCAATATATATGAAGTGTTTTAACAGTGAAATCTGAAAGTACATTGGATAATGAAAGATGCCTCCCAAAAGCTAAGCAATGTATTAAGAAACAGGAAAAAAATGTTTTTTACAATGTTCACCCTGTACAAGGTCCAAGAACCACTCAAGGTAAAGGTTTACTGAGTAAGAGGCACAGTTTATGGGGATATGTGGGAAAGATAATGGTTGACCCTAGACTTGAACAGGCCAAGATTGTAATGATCAAGGAAGCATCCTCTTGGATTTTGTTAGAAACAAAGAAAAGAGTACTGAACTGTTTCATAATGTCATTCCTCCAATATGGTAGTGAATGCTGGACAATCTCATCAAAGATGAAGAGAGACTTGAAGTGACAGAAATGTGGCTCTACAGAAGGTTGATGAGAATACTGAACATGTGAGCAGTGACAAAGTTTTAGAGGAAATGAAAACAGAAAGGAAACATACTTAACATCAGGAAGATATAGTTGAAATTTCTAGAGCATATAACGAGGAAAGATGACTTGGAAAATATGATACTTACAGGACAGATTGAAGGCACAGAGGAAAAAAACACAACTAGTGAGACTGAATAAATGGATGGCAGAACAAGGTTTAGAAGAGATAACAAAAGGAAAAAAATTAAGAGCTATAAAGGACAGAAAATTGTGGAGGACCATGATCGTCAATATCCTGAATGAACATGGTACATAGAAGAAGAAGAATATGTTATAATTATTTTTTGTTTGAAGGGACAGAATGCAGTAAAGTATGTTATTTACTGAAGTTATATTGTTTCTTTTGTCTGAAGGAATGCCGAGGATTATTTATCTGATTTATTTTTATTTTTTATCTCTTTTGTTGATACTTAATGCAAACATAGCAAAAAGCTTCTTTTTTTTTCTTCACAGTATGTTTTCTATTTACACAAGACAATGATTTATTATAAAATTCATAGCATATTTTCAATCTGCTTATTGTAGACTCAAATTTCTACTTGAGCAGCCATTGTTTTAAGCTTTACTGAATCCATCATTCAAAGCAATTAATCTTTTATATTCTGTTTATTTATTTTTCAGCTGGGTTCCATTCCTGATTATCATTCCAAGACATTGCTAAGGTAAATTTTTATAAAATTTCTATGCTTCAGTGAAACTAAGAATTTAATCTGACAAAAAAATGTTTTTTTTTTTGTTTTTTTTTAAATTTTCAATTACATATTTAGCACAAGTAGCAACACTATTTTAAGTTCTGTGTCTTTAATAGAGATGAAAAATTAATATGTAATGTAATCCTTGGAAATGTTGTTTTATTTAATTAAATAATCACAGGTGCAAATGTTATTAGTTTACAGTTAATCCAAAATATAATTGGGTAAAGGAGCATTATAGAAAAACAGGTGTCATATAAATCATTTTTAACAAGAGAAGCTATCATAGTAACAGTAGTTTAAGGGCTATGTCTCATGCACCTGTACATAATAATCTTGCATTATTGTTACACATAGGCTTAATAGGAGGGAAAACAAATTAATTTTTTTTATTTATACAATCCTCTTTTACTACAACTGCAACATTGGTAGCATTACTTCAAATAGTATTTGTTACTCTATCAGGAAATTAGTATTCTTTTATCAGTGCAAATTTGGCAACTTTCTATTCTCCACGTCTGTTTTGTCCCATCAAGCTAAAGTTTGAAATTATGGTTCCTGTCTATTGCAGAATGAGATCCTGTCATGATTTGGATTACGATAAAATGAGATTTTTGCCTGTGATTTACATTGTGATAGAATACTTTTCACAAAGTCCAATCTTGATTACTGCCAGCAACTAGGTCCTCAAAGTCTATTCTATCCGTGGTGCAAATTGGAAATATCTCTGGGTTTTATGCCTCTCTAGTCATATATGTACTGATTTGCGCTGTAAAGTTCGTAACTTCTGACATTTCATTGACACTTGGCAAGTGCTAGAAAAAGGCTTACATGAATGAGTATAGATGATTGCTGTGCTTTTCAGTCTTGGGAGACTGATTGGAATTTGTGTTGAGATTTCCTGCCAGAAAAATTTGTCAATAATTGTCAATTTCCATTGAATATGAGGATAAATACATGATTTTCTAACACTGATGCTGTATCAAATCTACTTGCAATCTTGTAGGAGTGGATAGCCTGAGTTAAATAAAAGTCTAAATGGCTCCAGTTGGTATCTATCTTGAACTCATCAAAGAGTTTGCTTTCTTTAAATACAAGAACAGTTCTTTTCTTTTATATTAGCTGACTACACATCAGTCATATGCAGTTATCCCTCACTGTGAATGTTTCTGGCTTCATTTTTACTAGAACTAGAATTTTTTTTTTGCAATTCTCACAGTATTTAGTATTGTTGAAGTTATCACTAACATTTTTTGTGAAGATTTACAAACTTTACATTTTGTCCAATTTTACAAACCAATCAATGAAATTTGAATAAGCTGATTTGTTTGGAATAATACTTTGACAGAAACCCTACTTCACTTTTTAACAATTTCTTTAATTTAATTGTATAGGACTTCATGGTAAACAATATTTTTTAAGAAAATTTCTTTGTTTCCTTTTTAACAGCAAGGAATAAATTATTAGGATTTCTTACTCTTGCACATGCAACATACAACTGGTAATTCATAAATACTTCTTTCTGAAGACAAATTCCAACTATAATTCTCGCAAGCATAAGGTGAACTGACAACTGGATCCTTGTATATAAAAAAACTTTAAAGAAAAGATATACAAAAGCCAATATTGCATTTTTATTAAATAAATATTTGTTATTGTTTTTAAATAGTGGAAGTATTTTGTATGTTAAATAATAAAATTTTTAATTTTTCCTAAAACATTAATGAAAATTTATTATACTAAGCTATGCACCCTAGTAAAACCAAAAATACTTTGTACTCCCTTATCTGTTTTCACATCTCACCAAAATTTGGTTTTGATTGGTCAATGTATGGCTATTTTAGGGGGTTTGACAGACTAATGGAAGTCACATAATTTTATATATAGATATATTGTTGCTGGTCCAATATTAAAATGAGTACTTGTAAATGGCTATCAGTTTTCAAACAGAAAAAATAAACAAATAAGGTTTTTTGGTGGGGGCAGGGGTCTTTTTGAAAGATGTACCAAAATTTTGTGGGTAGGAAGAAGATATGTTATTTTCATTTTTGGTGTGGAAATAATTTTTTATTTATGACTCCTGAGCATTATCTAAATTTATCAAATTGATTGAAAAGTTAAAGAATTAAAGCATTACATGTAACAGTTTATTACTTAATATATATTGTGAAAACCTTACTCAGAGATTGATTTGTCTCTGATAACTTGATAGTATTAACATAATTTAAAAAAGATTCAATGTTACAAGATTATATATCTCAGATATGAATGTGCTGTCAGCAGAGCCGAAAATACACTAAATGCATCTTCTACAGTAGTGTAAGAGCCCCCCCCCAAAATCGCATCTATCAGGTGGGTTGCTTGTAGACTTGGGTATAGATAACCAATGTTTATCTATAGACTCAACTAGAACAAAAATTGATTTCAACATGAAATAACCCAAACAAAGGTTGATATATCATAAAATTCACCAACCCAACTTAAATATGACTTGGTACTACATATAATATTGCATAATTCTTGGATAGTTGAAAAAAAAGGTTAGTCTCACTATTAGTATGATGACACTTCTGCTTAGCTGAGGGCCAGGGTGTATAAATGGTTGGTAGTTAAGTGACATCAGTGGCACTGAACAGGAGTAACCTAGTTGAAGTCATTAAGAGTGACACATAGTAGAAGACAAGAGTTCAATTAAACATAATTTATTTTGTTCTGAAATCAGTTAGATATGAATATATTCATGGTAAACAAAGGGTATCAATTTTGTCACCATGCATGATATTTGTCAAAAGACTAAACATGTATATAAACATACACACACACACACACACACACACACGATATATATAAATATATATGTATATAAATGAGGTATGTTAGAGTAATGGATAGTGGCTTGGATTGAGGAATTGGAGAGCCGAATTCGGATTCCAGTCGAATCCATTACATTCACTTACGTGCTAATACCCTTGGGAAAGGTATGAATCCTCTTCTTCTCCCTCCAGCTATGGGTAAATAGCAGGACAGACTGGGTTCTATAGCCTTGGATGGCAACTGGTCTAGGAGAATGACAATGAATTCAAAACCTGCGGAAGGTGATTTGGGTACCTTGTGACACGTTGTGCATCAGGCCTGTATTCGGCCCTTCAAAAAGTGTGGATGGTTCTGCACAAAACCCTCACCACTACAATCAAATCTCATGTGCTGGTGTTGGACTGCCGCTTCCTAGGAACTGATCTGCTTGACCCTCATACATTGAATTTGACATGAAAGTCGAGAATATATATATATATAGAGAGAGAGAGAGAGTACAATAAAACTTTTTACAAACAAGAGTGTATATCTTGTCTGGGAAAAGGTTATATTAAAAAAGTGCTCAATGCACAGTTCAAAAACTCAAAACTGCAGAGCTATTTAATATTTAAAATAATAAACACATCAACCCTTTCTGCTACTGTGGTTTCCGTCAATAAATGTTTTTTTCAGGCAGTGACATATTTAATACAATACAATGTAAAGTCCTGAAATGATTTTATGTATTAGGTAACTTGGTATTTGTGTTCTCAAACCAAGCTGTGAGTTTTAATTACTACATCAGTGATGTTTTTTGTTAATACATAATTTCATTTAACCTTTTCAAAATTATAAAAGTATCTGAAAAATTCAAAAAGAATTGAATGAATTTATTGGGTGGCCATAGATTCCATATATTCAATGTACTTTGTCATTTACAATACACTCTCTTTGATTTGATAAAAATATTGATTTATTTTTGCCACTTATTTATCTGAGGTATTAATTCAGAGAAAACATACAAGTCTCTGTCAAACTGAAGTTTATGTGAATACAAAATAAAGTAGAATTGTATGTTTTATCTACATTTCATACAAATTATAATCTGTGGTGAAGGCAAGACATATGTAGGTCAGGTATAGTTGGTCTGGAAAAGGTACAAGACCAGAATACTGAAAAATAAACACTTTTATGTCATGACAATGACCAAATGCTAATATTTAATCTTTTTCAATTTACTATGTTTCTATATTCTTTAATATTCACAAACTCCAAATCCCAGTTATTATTATAGAAAATTAGACAGGGACCATCCTTCAAATTCATCAAAATAATTTTAAATGCAACATTATTTTTAAAAAAAACTTCTCTTTGTGACACATTGATGTAAAATCAACAACAATATCTATATATCTAATAATGGCAATCTGCTTATTTCTGAGTATTCCCATCTGCTAAGATGGCAAGATAATCCCTGCTGCAGACACCCACACAGGCACATTTGTGTTTCTTCAACACCCTCAGAGTGAACCTATGCTTTATATTGAAACTGTGCTGAGTGAACTTTAATTAGTTTTCTGGAAGAGAGTGGATAATTTGATGTGATCAGCAGTTGAACACGATCAGTACATTTGAACCCTCTGTCACAATGACTTGTGATTTCATGCTACAACTATCAATAGCTTCCAAACAGTATTGTCAACCTACTTTCACCTCCAAGGCTTCAGTCAACCTCTGGTATCTTTCTCAGGTATTTCCCAACTGATATGTCCTAGAAAGGGATATATTTGTTCAAAGTAATAAAGTGGTTTTGGACTACTGTAACCAAGTAGGACAAACTGGCAGGTCACAGTAATGGACTGGTCCTCGTCATAATGGTAGGCAATAGGCGAAGACTATAGGCGTCGTCCACATCAGTCTGTATTTATGGCTGATGCCAGCCAATCATATTACTGTGAGGGGGAACCCAGGTGTATGCATATTTATTACATCACCAACTATGTCACACATTTAGGTCATCTTCCCTGGCTAATATTATCAAGAAGTCGCCTAATTGACAAATCAACCCATGTAATTTGAACCCAGATCTTATGGTTTGAATGCTAACATTCTAACCACACAGCCACATGCCTTTTAGGTTATCTATATCAGGTGTGTGTTTGATAAATGACCACAGA